TAATTCTATCAATATATAGGTCTAAGGATTGCCATCCAGGTGACCTTCTAGGAGCAAAATCCTTAAAGTCACTGAATTTTAGAACCACTATCAAATTTGAATAGAGGATCACTTTTAGCTACAGATATTTTTAGTCGATTATTTTTCCTGTCTTTACTAACACTAATCGGAATCGCTATTACTTCTATCTGATATTAGAATTTTACATATGATCAAGAAGACTTAGATATTATCATCTTTATAGAATCTCAGAAAGGTAGATAACTATCATATCCATATTGTTAAATTCATCTAGGAATTGAACCTGATCTCTATTTCAATTGACAGCTCAATTGGATAGTTGCTGCGGTAGTGCAATATAATTTATTATTAACTATAATTATCTTGAGAATATTTCAAGATATCATCCAATTTACTAATTACTGAACATGAAAGTAGTGTCTCTACCAATAATAACAATAAAGAAACTCCAGTTATTATGGATGTTGACCCTCTTCCGCTCAATAAAGAAAAGGGCAAAGAAGTTTTAACAAGTGAAATCACTCCAGTTGTTATTTCTAACCAAATACTCATAAACATCAATGATGCTAATGATACCTTAGAAAATTTTTTGAACAATAAGAAAAGCCCTCAAGAAATTTCTACTAAAAAATGAATTTTTTCGCATTTTTTCCAGCGGATGACTACCCTGAAAATCTTCTTAAACAAAAAATCTCTGACATTACTGACTTTGTTTTCAATCAGTTCAACTCATTTTTAGATGTTATATTTGTCAAAACCCCCGAAGACTAATTAAAAAAGATCTTAAAAGTGACATTCTTCGATAAGGATGAAAGGGACGCATTTTGTAAAATTAATCTGCTTAATTTGAAAAATCACACATTTTTACCCCTCGAAATCGTGTCAAAACATCTATTTGTTCTACAATAATCAATCAAAGTTACTGAAATCCCATTAAATATCACAGAATTATGTATCAAAAAGATCTTTTCCTGATTTGGTAAGATTATCAGATTTAACATGAAAATAAAAAACCTCTGGCAACAAGCTACAATCACATACGATTCAGATGCTAACTTTGTTGAACGTAAGAAAGGTCACAGTGTCTTTCTTCTTAACGATATAGTTCATTTCTATATATGTGACCTTTTGCGTGACAAAATCTTGAAATGATCTAAATTCTCAGCCAAACTAACATGTCTTTCTCATTACACTACAGGTAAAGATTTATCTAATTTGAGATTGATGGATAACACTATAGCTTGGATTATTCCTAAGGTCAAATCAAATTATCATAATCTACAACATGCATTTTTTATTTTTCTTCAGCTGATGATTACGAAATAGCAATCAGTAATAACAATCTTACTATCAATAGCAAATACGTAGAATAGACTAAAACTAAAGTCAAACTATGTGCTATCTGAACCTTATCACATCACAAAATTAAAGATTGTCCAAAAAAATGTTATACTTCTCAAGATAAAGCACTCAACATTTATATTAACAATTTTAACTGGCACAATACAATAATTATAAAGCTTCAGTTCATTCTTGTAAAGAAGTTATTAGTCCTAATATCACGTTTGCTAATATCATTACAGATGATTTTCAGAAACTAACCAAACTAATTAATAAGCCCACGAATTCACATTTCGTGTTAAAGAAAATTAACAATAGTCCTCCAAAGCAACCACCTATCCTATCACCAGATTGGAGTGACAATATTCCTCTGAATATAGATCAACAATACAATTATCCCATCAGTAATAATACAAATCATGTGATATCTTTACAGGAATGAAAGTAGAAGGCTCTATGTACGAGCAAAATATTAATAATGATTTTAAAGACTTTATCAAAGCTAGTTTCCTACAACTTATTGAGAAACTTGATGATCTCAAGCTTACTTTGAGCTCTACTATAAAACGAATAGAAATAATTGAACAAACACTCAATATTAAGGTCAGCTTTTCTGATGAAGAAACGATGGCTAATTATGACGTAAAATAATGTGGAAATAGCCTATTTGTCAATGCTTTCACATCAATTATTAATAAACAATAACAAACTATTGCAGCTCTTACAGAGATCACAGACACATAAAATTTACGCTTTAAGAACTTACTGAAATAGTCAACACCTTAGTTAATACTTGCAATACATTCTGTACAGTTCTCATTCATAATGACTTACTTTAAATCGACAAAATATCAACATCATACACCCTTAATACTAATTATGATATAGAAGCAGAAAAGGCTCTGAAAGGCCTTCTCCAATTTTAAAAATATATTTTTTATAATTCCTGTCTCTACAAAAATTAACAACACATTCCCTTTACCAAATATTAACTCTAATACGATCTCCATTAATATACCAAAACTCTTCTTTGCAACACATAATATTTGATCCTTCACTAACATCACCAAATAATACCACCTTTTATCATTATATTTCTTATACAATTTAGATGTCATTGGTCTTTAAGAGACTAACTTCAAACCCTAACATGATAAAATTTTTAATCCATCACATCCTTCCTTCATAGCATTTTTTAGTTCAACCCTAAAACAACATATAATATTCAGTATAGGGATAATATTTAACAAAATGTTTGTTCATCATGTATATAAATGTGACACAAAACTTGATTAAGTCATCTATATTAATTTACAATTCATAAATAAATAAAAGCTTCATATTATAAATTGTTATTTACCGCCAGCGGATTTTAAAATGAGACAAGAAATCTAACAGGTTCTTAATAAATAGATCAAAGAAGCAATTATCAATGATTTTTACCTGATCATTCTAGAAGACTTTAATACTGATATAAATAGAATACATAATTTCACAAATAGCTTAAAACTCTTTGATGAATTTTATAAACTGTCACTTTTTGATGCTTTCATAATCAAATACGATCAAAATAGAATCAATTTTATCACTTATTTTTCAAACTAAGTCTCTTCTAGGATAGATTACATCTAGATCTCAATTGATATCTCTCTCAACATTTTAGACTGCCATACGATCTCACCTGAAACAAATATATCAGATCATCATATAGCTGTCACTACAATTATAAACTTCTTAGACATCAAATTTAACAAACGTAAATTACTTACTAAAATTAGTTTTGATTTTGATAAATGAATGATGACTTATGGAGCAAATTCAGAAACATATTCAATGCGCTATTAATAAAACAATCAATCAGGAGATATATTAAACACATTCCTTGCTTAACAAATACTGGGACCCCTTTCAAAATCTCTTGATTAAAGTAGTTAAAAAATGCATATCACTCAGAAAATCATCAAGACAATTCAAGTACCTAAGGCCATTGGGCCTAAATAATTATATTCACATCAAAAAATTTTAAAAAGTTACTTCTTAAAGTCAAACAAGGCAGATCATTTCCTGTAAACTGGATACAAATGTATGATGATTTTTGCAACATTGCTAACTCACTCACATTTACCACTGTACATCTTCACTCAGAATACCCATTTAACTTTGTCAATCTTCTCCTCTCAGACACAGTTATTTTACTCAAAATCTTCTTATACAAAGTCAAACTTCATGAGAATGAACACAAATTTGCCTTTATACAGAAATATCTGGATCAGCGCTTAGACGCATATGCCAACAATCCCAAAAATATGCTTGATTCAGCATTAAATCATACAAAAAAAACTATTGTACTAGACAGATGTTTGTCAAGAAATTCTTAAGAGCTCCTTACAGATGAATACTTAGTTAAACAAATAGTTAATGACCATTTTTAAAGAGTGGTAGATACTACACATGAATTAAAAAGCATTCCTAATGAATGACTCTCTTCATACAGCCTATTTTAAGTTATTGATTCTAGTATTTACAATAATCTAATGTCACCTCCATCAGCTGAAGAATGGTATTCTATTGTTAATTTTCTTGCTGATGGTAGAATATCTAGCCCATCCAAGATCTTGAATGAAATGCTTAAACACCTAGATCCCTTAGCTAAAAAGATTTTTTAGTATATAATATATGATTATTTGTCAATCTCAATACTTCTGTATCAATGGAATTTAGCATATGTTTATCTGATTCTAAAACCTAAACTCTAGAAATTTAACTTAAATAATACAAAACTGATTACCTTACTGAAATGCTCTTATAAAACTTATTAATATATGACTCTTAACTGTCTTCATCTAACACAATATTCTTAAAGAACATAATTTCGCAGGACTTCCTTTCCGCTTTACCTTTGAACTATTGCACATCTTAAACAATATAAAAAATAATGCTCTTTCTAACAAAAAAGAATTATGAGTCCTATTACAAGATATGTCAAAAGCTTACAATCATATTAATATTTTTATAATGGTTAGAGCGCTAGAATGCTTAAAGCTTTCTAAAGAGTTTATCTTCTTCATCTTAAATATGTTTGTGCACAAGAAAAACCAAGTTTTTATCTCTTATGGGATCACAGACATATATAAGGTCTCCTCGAATATTGATCAAGGTGAAATTATATCACTACTCTTATGATCAGGGTTGAGAATTGTACTAGTACTGTACCAATACTGTACTAGTACTATTCTAAATAATGTATTATACTCAAATATTATAATATAATGCATTTTGTATATTTATTGTCACGTGATCTTATAATTAAGATTACATAAGACAATTAATTAAAATAGGTGTTAATTTTAAAATTTTTTTTTGCAGAGGTAAATTACAAATTTTTTTTTGTCTTTTGATCGGGTATAGAAAGCCGCAGTTAAATTTTTTAATTTATTTTTTAAAAGAAAAAAACTAATAATTCCTATAAAGAGAGAATAGAAACGCAATTAAATTACTTTTTTTAATGTTTAAAAAAAAAGAAAACTAATTATCTCATTTTATAGGATTCAGAGGTCTTTATTCTTAATTGAAGGTAAGTTTCTATAGAGGAAGCGTTAGATGAAATTATTTTTTTTTAACTTTATTTAAACTAATTACCTTTTTTTTGTAGGATTCAGAGGTTTTCATCCTTGATCAAAGGTAAGTTCCTATAGAGGATATAGAGGAAGCATTAGTTAATATATATATTTTTTTATTTTTTTAAAAAAAAATATATTCTGCTTACCTTTTTGTAGAATTTGAAAGACTTTCAAGGCTTAAAATGAAAAGTAAGTTCCTATAGAAGGAAAATGGAAGTGTCAGTCAAAATTTTTTTATTTATATTAAAAAAACAATAATTAACTTATCTTTTTTTGTAGGATCTAAAGGTTTTCATCCTGAATCAGAAATAAATTTCTATGGAGAGAAAATGGAAACAACAATTATTTTTTTTTTAACTTTATTTAAACTAATTACCTTTTTTTTGTAGGATTTAGAGGTTTTTATCTTTAATCGAAGATAAGTTCTTATGAAAAATATAGAGGAAGCATTAGTTAATATATATATTTTTTTTATTTTTTTTTAAAAAAATAATACTCTGTTTACCTTTTTATAGAATTCAGAAGACTTTTAAGACTTAGAATAGAAAGTAAGTTCCTATAAAAGGAGAATAAAAGTATTAGTCAAAATATTTTTATTTATATTAAAAAAAAACAATAATTAACTTACCTTTTTTTATAGGATCTAAAGATTTTTGTCCTGAATTGGAGGTAA